GAGTCACGTATTGACGATAACCTTATCGAATGTTCCGATAATGCGAACGTATTTTATTCCTGATCATTAGTACATATTGGTAAGATAAGCGTCATCGAGCAGATGTCGGCTTAATTTTTTAATTGATAATTGCGTCTTTTGATTGATATAAATATGCTCGAGGAAGTAGCTTATTCCCAGTGTCATTTACGACTGCAAGCAATCACCATTCTATTGAAAAAAGTTAGTGATCATTGCTTGATACACTTCTCTTTAAAATGACGTTGATTAATGTTGCAAACGTAATAAACATGTTAACGACTACGTTTCAAATTGCGAGTATAGCACAGACACCTGTAACGCCATCTGAAATTGAAATGCATAATGAAATTCATGACATTATACAAAATTTTCTAAACGTACATTCCGTATCATTAATTGAATATGATTACGTGCTTGATTTTGCCGATCCATCAGAACCACATGGAGCACAAGTTGTAGAGTACATTACAGCTGCAGAAGAAGAAGAAGACAATTTTGAACCTGAAGAATGCATTGTTGACAATGAAGGTGGAAAAGTCGACTTCAGTTATAAGAGAAAAGCTGTGGAGTTTTGGAAAAGCGGAAAAAAGGCACGTCGATCTTTTACTACTGTACAGAGAAATTTTCGCAAGGTTAAATCCTTGAGCCAGCTTTACAGATGGGAAGCGAGTGTAGAGAAAGGTGGAACAAATGCAGATAAATTTCAATTTATTGCGGAATATGTACTGCAAAAGTTTGAAGAAGCTTCTGACAGAAGATCTATTGTTCACGATATGAATTTAAGATTCTGGGCCTTGGAGGCAAAGGACCAAATGGACTTACCCGAATTCAAGGCAAGTAAATGGTGGATTTGGAAATTCAAGAATGTGCATAGAATTGTTTCTCGCAAGATAACAACATTCAGGACGCGATCTACGCTTCAAGATATTGGTAACCTACCAAATATCGCAGAATCGTTTGTTTTAAACGTAAGATCTGACATCCCAGCTATTGGAGTTGAAGACATTTACAATGCAAACGAGAGCGGCTTCAACCTTGAAATACATTCTGGGCGAACATTGGCGAAATCAGGAGTAAAAACAGTTGAAGCGATGGTTCAATCGGTATCTTCTACAACACATAGCTACACTATAATGCCTATTATTTCGGCAAGCGGACGTCTTCTTTCACCACTATATATAGTTTTAAAGGAGTCTACAGGAACATTTGGTCCGAGGGTGCAAGAAACTCTATTCCGTCCAGTTAACATTTACATCCAAGCTTCAAAATCAGGAAAACTTACGTCTGAACATTTCAAAACTTGGTTCAGCGAAGTGTATGTACTAAATACTGGCCGTAAAAGCATGCTACTACTCGACTCGTGGACGGGACACTGCCCGAGCCAGCTAGAGCAGTTGATTCCACAAGACAAAGAAGTAAAATTTTCAATCATTCCAAAAAAGACAACGGCCTTCATTCAGCTTTTAGATGTGTTTGGATTCCGGATTTGGAAAAATTTCGTCCGAACATTTTCGGATAATGTAATTCTCCAAGAGAAACATGTCAATTTGCACTCACGTAATGAAATAATTAAATTGCAATCATTAACTCATAATCAGCTTTCTTCGCCCAGATTCAAAAATCTTTTCCAATATGCTTGGTTTAAAAATGGATATCTAGAAACGGATCCCGGTGAATTTCAAAATCCTGTAGATTTCTGTTACTTCAGGAAAGAAAAGCATATACTTAAATGTAATATTTATGGGCTGGCCGCTTTTATGCGCTGTGCATGGTGTGGCGAGTATTTCTGTTTTAAACATTTCTATGAAGAATATCATTACTGTATCAATTATATTGCGTAATGTTTAGTGTATCTGCCGTTTTGTACTAGTACAACTCTTCCAATATATAATTAAACAACAAAGCATGTACAAAAAGCGAATGCAAATGTTTTATGTATCAAGATTAATCAGAATTAATTAAATTAATTCATTTATTCATTCAAAATAGATACGAACCGTCTTGCTTTAATAAATGAAAGATGCTTGAAATTCATATAAATTATGATTTAGTAAGTAGTAAATAAGTAAGTCTTGAGCGGGTAGAGCTATTTCAGCTCCTACGTCACCTGGATCTATAAGTTCCTCTGTGACATCCCGCTGTTTACCTGAGATGCTCCTATTGGTCTAGCCCGGTGTTATTTACCAGGCCACATAGTTTGTTGATCCTCATTTCTTTTAGATCCTTGGGTTCTGAGAACATCTGCCCCCAGGATCTGTATCTTCTTATTGCTAATAGGGGGCAACGACACAGGATGTGGATGCTGTCCTCCTCTTCTTCCCCGCATAGCCGGCAATTTTTTTGCTCAGCCATTTTCAGGTTGTATAGATGTGCTCTTAAGGCCATATGTCCCGTAAGGAGGTTAATTGCGAGCCTCAATTTCTTTTTGTTCATCGTCAGTAGTTCACGGGCCCTACTTTTCGATGGTTTTTCCATCAGGAGTTTAGCCCGCCGGCAGCCTTGTCCTCGTTTCCACGAGTCCAGATGCTCCTTTTCTAGGCTCTTCTTGATATATTCTTTACCAACGGCGAAGGGAATGCCCATCTCCTGCTCAACCGGGTCCTCCAGGGTACCCAGTTTTGCAAGGCCATCCGCTACTTCATTGCCATGTAGTCCCCTGTGTCCAGGGATCCATATGATGGTGACTTTGTTAGTTTCTCCCAATTTATTTAGTGCCTGCTTGCAGTCCCATACCACTGATGATTCAGTGGTGGTTCCTTCGAGCGCGCCTAACGCTGCTCTGCTATCCGAGCAGATAAGAATGCTCTTATCTTTTACGTCTTGTGCAATTTGGATTTTGACGCATTTCAGTATGGCAAGCACTTCCGCCTAAAATACTGTGGCCCATTCGCCCATAGGTATAGTTACCTTTTGATCAAACTTCTGGCAACAGAAGCCCGCTCCAAAGCGACCATTCGCCCCCGACCCGTCTGTGTACCAGATGTCCGTGTTCGGATGTATGGGAAGCCTGATAGTTTTCCACTCGTCCCTTGTTGGTATTTGAACTTTAAAGTTCCTAT